CTATCTATCTCTCTCTCTCTCTCTCTCTCTCTCTCTCTCTCTCTCTCTCTCTGTGGAATCCCTTTTTTTAATAGAACTTTCAAAAGAACAAAATATATTTGAAATAGAAATATTTTGTAACACTAAATGTCTTTACTCGCACTTTTGATCAATTTAATGCATCCTTGCTGAATAAAAGTATTAATTTCTCTCAAGAAAAAAAACAACAAAAACTATTGACCTTAAACTTTTGAACTGTATTGTATTATTGTATTCTAATCATTTTAAGTTTTACTATCTTACACTATTTTGCTTCTTAAATGTGCAATGTATTAATCATGTGTTGATATTTTTACTGGACAAGCAGATAAAAATGCTAATGAAAATCGTTATTCATTCATTCATTCATTCATGCAGTGAAGTAGTTCCCTAGGGGGGCATTGCTGAGGGGCATTTCCAAAATGGCAGCAGCTAAACTGCATGAACTGACTTCCCTCAAAAAGGGCTTTGTCTGAACCTCACGAGCTCAGCACAAATTGTGTCCTGACCGTCATTATACAAACTGTTCCTCCTGTCAGTCATCTTTTCCTTTCTCCTCCCACAGTGTAGTTATGATTTTCTGCACAAAGTGGCGTGAAATATCTTAAAAGCAACCCGGTGCACATGCTTGCGCAGAAACGCACAGAGGCGGACCGTTTTTCACGGTCAGCAGTGCCTAAAAGCAAACAGACAGGACTAAACCAGCTTTGGATTTGTCACTATGCAGGGCAGAAACACCCACCCGCTTCCTTCATGTGCTGCTAATGCAGTGTTACAAATTAATATCCAAATAGCATTAGGCTACAATGTGTTAATGGCAGAAAGAGAGAAAGGAGGGGGATTTGGGGATGCATAAGCACGGATTTGGGAATTTCACGCACACAAACACACACACATACAGTATGCTTCTCTTGCACCCATAGCCAGATGACAGTGTTTTGTGATGGTTCAAGGCATGGACTCAACCTAATCTCAACATACTTATCCTCTTCTTTCTTTTCTCTGTTTTTGATGTTTTTAACTGGCTGGTTTAGCAGTTTTATATTTATAACTAGTGCTAATGGTTGGTTTTGGGGCAGATGTTTCAGGCGTTGCACCAGTGGCGGTTCAAGTGTCAGAAGATATGCAAGGCTTATAAGCCAAAATATCTGTGGATTGCTATTGGGCCTTTAATTTGTGTACTATTGGAATTTGATTTCCATATGTTCTGACTTAAATTAGGATTCAGAGGGGGACAATGATGCATTTTTACATAATGAAGCTCTACAGTTTAACATTTGAGAGCAATTAAATTAAGACAGCCATAAATATTAGTATTGAAATGTTATATATATATATATATATATATATATATACTGTATATAATAGTAATATAATATGCTAATATCTTATATGTCAATTATATTGCACGATTTATCCCAATAGTCAAAAGTCTACAGTATATCTGGCAGACTGTTATTACTGTTTGGATTGGATCTAATAGAAATAAGAAATTCAATTTACTGAGGATTCATTATTGCCTCCATGTAATCCCACCCACATATTAAACTGGAAAAAAAAATAATTATGAAGTTCTATTAGCTTACAAAAAGGACAGAATACTTTACAGCAGACTCACTCAGGGACATGACTCATATTTACAGTTATATTCCCCATGCAATATCGTATCTCATAAACAGCAATTATGATTGCGGTGGATTGCAATTGACCCATCAGGATGAGTAAGCCAAACCAATACAATATAGAGTATAAAATATATATTACATATCAAAAGTAATATGACAGGTTCACACAGGAAGTTGAAATACATTCTGAGAGGTAATTAATTTGACTGTTTTCTAAGTAAATAAGCAGCTTCTGTGTCTGATTTCACACATGAAGCAAAGTCACGGCAGGAATGAACTCATGGGCTGAAAACAATGCTTTGTGTCTGAAAACAGATGGGACGGTGTCTGTGTAAGCAGAATGGTGACGTTACCTGCAGCTGTTTTTGGTCGCAGCTGCCAGACTCAGTGATTAAGGAAAGTGTGCTAAAGAGTTGTTGTAATAATTAGACTTGACTCTGCATGTTGTTTTTAGGGAGACTCTATGAGGACAAACATTCAGCTGGATTTTGGAGACGGTACGGCCGTGTCCTACTCCAACCTGAGCTGGACGCAGGAGGGCATCAGGCACGTGTACCGCAGTGCTGGGATCTTCAGAGTAACAGTGCAGGCGGAGAACAGCCTCGGGTTCGACACATCATCCCTCTACCTGCATGTGACATGTAGGTTTCACACATATACACACAAATGAGTTACTACTTCAGTGTTTATTTTTGGTCATGAAGTTGGGAAGTTATTTCAGGTGCATTGTATTACATTCTCCATTTTGCTGAGGTTACATTATATTATAACATTGTAGAATTTTTGTCTTAACTTTTAGTAAAAATATCTAAACATCTTTAATGAATTTATTTGTGTATAGCACTGTATAAGATAATAAGACTTGTTTGTCAGAAAATATATCTTGAATTAGGTTTATTTTTCCTAATTCATTAGTCGGTTACACTTTATATTAAGGTGTCCTTGTTACGGTGTAATTATACATATAAGTACTGAGTAATATTAATTAACTACATGTACTTACTATATGGTTAGGGTTTGGAATTTGGTTTGGCTTAGGGTTACTTGCATGTAATTATGCATAATTAATTGTTATTATAATAGTAAGTACATATAACGTGTAACAAGGACACCTTAAAATAAAGTGTCACCCATTAGTCAATTAGTTCAAGCTTAAATTTCAGTAAATGTTGGTAGATATGTGCATTTTTTTTTTTCAAAAGACACTTTTCAGAAAGAGTATTTATTACGTAAATAATATGCTTTAAAAGAATATACTAAAGTGTGAACTAAATGTAATGTTTTCAGAAACTGAATTGGTTTTATTCATTTCATTGAATTGTTAATTGCAGTTAAATGAAAATGTATTATATTTATATTACATGCAGTTCACTGAACTTGTATATTGCTTTTTTAACCTACTTAAGAATAACTTGTTAACTTAAGTATATATTTATGTAATTTCATAATTACTTTTGTTGCACTGACAAGCATTTAACTAAAATATACTTTGTCATTTCTATTTATATTACTT